GCAAAATCCAGGTTTCTTTCGTAAATTCACGTGGCCACGGCCACGTTTAGGCGATGATGTTGATCATCCCTGCCTACTGCATGGGCGTTATCTTGGAAAAGACCTGGAAACGTCAGCTGACACAGGCCATGGATGGTGAGGGAAGAACTTCATGACATGACTTTTTCGCAGTAAAAAGGTCAAAGGTTGAGGATACTATCCTTGATTTGCATTGATCTGCGGCTTCTTATTTTCCAAGAATTGGCTTACAGCAGTGCAGAACGAGAAAATCTGCAAATATCTGTATGTATGTATGTTATATATATATATATATCATACATTTTTTTATATCATATATATATATATACATTTTATATCATATATATATTTATATATATATATATATGCTAGGCAGAAACCATGGTGCCCAGTTAAGATGGAAAAATAAGATACACATCCACTAGGTGCCATCCACCATCCACCAGGTGTTGCTGTACATTTGCGCGCTCATGAGTCGGATGTCCCAGGGTCCCAGGGGATGGTGACATCATGGCTCAGTTGATCGATTTTTTTTTTCGGGAGCCAGTACCCTGTGGTAAACTAACATAGCTATTGAAAATTGCCATTTATAGTGGATTTACCCATTGAAAATGGTGATTTCCCATAGTTATGTTAGTTTACCAGAGGGTAATTCCCACAATGTGAGGCCCCCATTCGATAGCGTTCAGTTGGTTTAGATTCGCCCCAGTAACTAGTTCGTTATAAGTACCATAAACCATAGTGAAATTGGAGTTATGTGCACCAACTTAGCTATCGAACGGGGGCCTCACTTTGCAGAGATCAAAAACCAGTTGAGAATATCACTGACCCATAAAAATCCGAAAGGATCAATGACTGGTTGGTGGTTTGGAACCATGGAATTTTATGACTTTCCATTCAGTTGGGAATTTCATCATCCCAACTGACGAACTCATATTTTTCAGAGGGGTAGGTCAACCACCAACCAGATGACTTTCCATGACTTTCCATGATTTTCATATGGGTGAGTTGTAGGGTTTCTGCGAACTGTTCCTTGTAGCTGTTGCTCACATAGATTCCTATTGGTTGTTGCAATTTGTTTTGTAGATCCTAATTCTGGCTGAGTGGGTCAACCTGCTTACTGGTTGATTGCCCGGTTCTGCCAGTGACGTGCATGCTTTCTTTGGGGAGAAATCCGGTTCTTACTCAGCAGAAATCCCATTTTTCTACTCAGCAGAAATCTCAACGGACCATTAATTCTCATGTTTTTTCCGGGAGAGAACGCCACTGTGTTCTTTATCCACTCTGATTCTTCAATGAAAATTCTATCCTTTCATCCTAATATAAAAAACCACCCTAGAAACCATGGTTTTCCTTGGGGGTTTTCACATAATTGGGACATATTGGGACCACCGAATGGAAGTGGGATGGGATTAGATCCAGTATTTCTGGTTGTGACACTGTTGTGACCTCGCGCCGTTGTTCCGTGACTGGAATCATGGTGAATGCATATGTGGAATCATCCCCATAGCTGGCCGTAAGGTATTTTATAGCTATATTCAGGTCAGTGAATTATGAAAACACTCAGCCAGATATTTTGGTTACGACACGTTATTACCATACAATTCGTAGAATCTCCCTATTATCTATTATTGTCAACCCTGGATTGCTAAACCCCTAGGCTGTCTAATTCGGGAGTACCATATTATTCAGATTATCACTATTTGGAAAGCACCCCCTAATTTATAAACGATGATTTATGAATTCGGGGTTGACATTGTCAGATTAATAGCCATCATTAACCATAAGTATATTCAACCATCCAACTATGCAATGGCTAGAACCTATTATCTACTATCGCCCCATTGGTAGAACAATGGCAACAAGTCCAGCTACCAAAAAATATCACATCTTATCCCATATAGTTATTACTGTACGTGTTATTACCACCCACTGGGTAGAACCTACAGGATGGGGCCCCCAAGATAGCTAAGTTGCCTTATAAGTGGCTGAAGTCTATGGTTTATGGTAGATATAAGAACTAGTATGAACTAGTTAATGGTGGTTATTTCATGGTTTATAAACCAACAAACATCACTGGGGGGGCCCCATCCTGCGCCGCTCGAGGCATGGCTTCGATACCCTTCACCATCCTGGAAGCTTTGGGTGTTGTCGCCAAACCACCCTAGAACTGCGCCCGTTTGGATGGCTCGATGTTGGAAGTTTTGAATGGAAAAAAACATCGATAAATGGAGGTTTGTAGCTGGGATAAGCAACTCACTAAATGGTGGATGTTCAATTGCTATGTTTAATTACCGGAGGGTCACTATTTTCGTACTATTCTATGTCTGAGAGTTGGATGTTTCAGATATGATTGGTCAGATATATCATCAACTATCTTAATACTGGTGACTTTGAGGTTGATCCAAGAATTTGATTTTTAAGACTCACAAAGAATGGATGATGACGAGGAAAATGCCATCCTGAAAGTGTGGATCGTCAAGATTCGTCAAGTCGCAGCGATTTCAGAAATGATGGGATTTTGCTGGATGGGGCCAAAGATGAATTTCAGGAAATTGGATAAACCCGATTTCTTACAAGATGAAGGTAATTGTTAACCTTATGATGGCCCAATATAGATCATAATATATTTAATCAAATTCAACATGTCCAACGCCCCTGAAAATTGGCCAATTGGCAGATGCAGAAAGTGAAATTCTGCTGCATCCTCTCCCCTTGAACTTGTCAAAGCAAGCATTGGGGGATGTGGCATGAGGAGGCGTTTGAGGACACCACTTATGGCTACGGCGTTTTGAACGATTGGTTTCGCAAGAGGCAAACCATGACGATTCAAAAAAGGTTCGGCTGGTGGCTTCGAAGCCTTGGTATTTGCTTCATGTTCAATCTGCAAAGAATCAGTGTATCATTGGAATCATGACATTCAAATAGATTCAACATCATTTGACTGACATCAACATCATCAAGTGACATCAACTGAATCATCAATTGGAGATGGCAACTCAAATTTCATGTTGAAACCACTATCTGGACCCAGAACGTTACATTTGATTTTGCCGGGAAAAAAGGCCCTGGCGCTGTCCATCGCTGGAATGTCCTCATTTGGAGTATGTCAACCACATGAACAAGGAACCCGAAGATTGACGTAGATATTGCCACTAGTTTTTGGGTATTGACTCAATAGAGATATGTGGATGGACATCATTGATTGATATAAATACATACATATATGTAAAGACGTGTGTGTGTGTATGTATGTATATATATATATATATATACCTCTGTGTGCGTGTCGTGATATATATATATATATATACACAGTATGTATGTATACCTGTGTGCGTGTGTCGTGAGATATATGTATATATATATATAAGATACATGCAAGCATTACACTAGCACTGGCACCCCCACCGATCAGGGGATTCGATTCATGTCTCTGTGACTACTAAACATGGCTCGCTTCGCCGGAGCTCGAAGAGATGAAATTGCGGATGTCAGAGACAGAGAGTCATTTTTTGAGTTCAAGACTTTGAGGTGTCCAACTGTTCTATCTATTTGGTGTCCAATAATCTCATGTCATGGTGCCATAAACCATCCAGCCATCTGGAGGTCATGGAAAACTTCACACGATTGGGGTTTTTGTCCAATTTCATCCAATTTGATAAACTTGTATGTTTTGGATGCTAAATTGGATGAAACCACACAACTAAGTTGGCTTCACCCACATGAAAATTACCATCCGCGCAGGTAAGAAACGACTTTGTGCAAGACAACCCGCAGGCTGAAGAGTCCTTGGGCACTCAGATCTGGTGGTTCCAAACCGGCTCTAATTTTTTCAGGGTTAAACGTACAAAATCACCGGCTAATGTTGGGGTATAATGTTGAAAATTTGCGACGCCTGAAGTCAAAGTCGTTGTTTTCTGTTGTTTTCATCTAAGTTTCTGATTACCACGGGTGACGTATTTTTTAAGGGGAATTGGGTTGAAGCATGTCGAAGCATCTGGGACTCAGGAACACCATGAATCTCTACAACTACTTCTTGAACCGCTTGAGGGACAACTTGCACATCGTCCTTTCCTTCTCGCCCTGAAGCCTAGACTTTCCAGTTTCGAGGGCTGAATTTGCTGGGACTTTGAGCAGAAATTTGACAGATGACAATGATGACCATAAATCAGCATTTTTTTGTTGGTAAACATGATGTAAACATGATGTAAACATGAGCCAAAAGCCATTGTATTTGGGGATGCCCCATCTTTGGTCAAACCCAGAAATGCTGCCATCAGACTGATCAGGATCAAACACTTAGTCGTTGGTTCGTATTCTCATCCCTTCGAATCTTTTTTTCCAGCAACTCTGGTTTAGTATTGGATCATATTGGATCTATTCATGAATTGCGGACCAAAAAAAACTTGGGGATATGACAATATGTTTGGGGGATGATTTTTTTCTCACCGTCCATTTTTGGGTACCTCTCTTGACACCAGCGAGGCCACTTCACCATAAGTTCCCAATCCGCGCCCAGATGTTCCCAGCAGTTTTCAGTGCGGCTCCCAGTCGAATTTTCGCAAAGGAGCTGAAAAAGCTCAAACATCCACCGGTTTTGCTGCGTGCTTAGCTGGCCAAATGGACACTTAAGCCAGAATATCTTGGAATATATGGACACATGTTGACGGGATAGTTGATATTATTTCAATGGTATCATATATATGCGATACACGTTGATAACACATGTGGCGTTGAGTCACTTGCAACAGAGCGGAGCACGGCGATGCCCATTTTGGCACAAAGAACTATAGAGAAAATGATCAGGTATGATATCAATGATGTGCAAAGCAGTCCATCTATGTTTCCCAACAATGTCTGGTTGGTGCTTTGGAACAGGAAATTGCTTTTTCCATAGATTGGGAATAATCATCCCAACTGACGAACTCCATTATTTCTGAGGGGTGGCTCAACCACCAACCAGATGTGGATGTGCCATTTTTTTGGATGACTGGTGCATTTTTTGTGCCATTTTTTGTTGGTAGTTACAGCTTGTTACAGCCTCTATCGGTGCCGACAATCCCATGGGTGCCGGTGATGCCATGGCGATGAATGCTTTGAATCAGCCACACGGAAGGGCACTTTGGAGCAACCTTGGGAAGCAAAGTGGGATTCCCAACGTCCGCTGGGACCAGGTGACATCCTCTTGGGTCGTGGATTATCAGGAGAAGGTTTTTTCCTCAGCTAAGACAACCTCCAAATCCTCGAAATCTTCGAAATCCTCGAAACCTGTGAGGCGTCTCTTCCCAGTGAAGCGCTACATGAAGCACCAGCACGGTCAGCGTCAGCGCGAGGTGCTGGCAGATGCGGCGGCGCTGGAAGCTGCCAAGGCCTATCGGATGGAGTTGGTGAAGAAAGGCTTGTTGAAGGACGTCTCAGAGAGACGCAGCAGCCCAGTGCCAGGTGTGCTGTGGATGGCCGACCGAAAACGATGGCGTGTGACCATCCAAAAGAAGGCAGAGAAGACCCAGAAAAATGATAAGACTCATAAGACCATGAAAAACAAGAAGAACACACTGAAAACCAACATCATCAAGATCAATGGTGGTTGTTTCAAAGACCAAGCTGCTGCTGAAGCCAAGGCCCTTTCGATTGCAAAGCAGCTGGGCTTGCAACGCCAGGTGAAGTCCGTCCGACTTTTGTCGGAACTGCCGGTGGTCCACCCCAAGGTGCCCTGCCTCGGGGTGAAGTGGAACCAGGCCGAACAGAAATGGCGGATCCAGTGCCGCAACGCCCAGGGAACCGTGGTGAACTTCAGGGTGACGCCCAAAAACCATTCGGAGACGGAGCTTGAGCGTTCCTTCCAAGAGGCTGTGGCCTGGAAGAAGAAACAGCAGCAGGGCAAGTCGGGCAAGTCCAAGGCCAAGGCCAAGGTCATGAAGGTGGCCAAAGTGGCCAAAGTGGCCAAGGCCAAAGTGAAGAAAGGCAAAGCCGGTCGCAGAACTTGAGGATCCTTGGTCTTGAGACGAATCCAGGGGGGGAAAAAGTTGGCTGCGTCCGCAGAAAAATGCAGAAACACTGGTGAATCGCCTCATTTTCTGGTCCCACCTCCAAATTGCGAGGGTCTCATTTTTCAAGGGATCAACAATCTATCAACCTCAGGGCCACAAAATGGGTTATGATCCATACCAGCTAGATGCACACCCCACTTGACAGCCATTTTAACGTTCTGATCTTCACTCATTTTCAACTTGGGGAAGATCCCGAAGAATATGATGTTCCCATTTGTTCCAACTGGATGAAATCGACATATTTCCCGCCAGCATCGCTTCGCCGCATGAGGCAATGTGAACATCAATTGGTGGATGCCTTACCCAGCAGAGGATGTGAAGGGAAAACCTGAGAAAGTGCATGACTTTCCGAAAGTGGGACAAAAAAACGGGAAAGCAAAACTACTCCAACGTCAACTTCAGAAGGTCAACAAATCCGTGAGAATGAATGAATCCATCAACCATCACTAACAACAACAACAACAACAACAACAATGATAAGTATAAGATATATAACAGTATAAATGTAGCTATACTTGTCTTTTTTGCAAAGACAACGAAAAACAACATACTCATGTGAAGGTTAGCTGTGCCTTACCAGTTTACCTCATGGCTTCCTTTTGAGGTTCTTGCCCTGGCCCGGGGAGGCGCTAGTGGCTGTCAGTGCGGCCCTTGGAGGGTGCTGGTGATGATGTTATGATCATTTTTAGCTACCAGAATGATATGTTATTAGTATATTTATATTAATGTATACGTTATTATCATGTTTGTTGTATGATGTTGTTGTTGTTGTTGCTGTTGCTGTTGCTGTTTGGTTGTTGTTGGTGGTGTTGGTGTTGGTGTTGTTTTTTTTTTGGTTGTTGTTTGGTTGTTGTTTGGTTGTGGTTTGGTTGTTGCTTGATTTGTTGTTTGTTTTGTTGTTTGATTTGGGTTGTTGTTTGTTGTGTGGTTGTTGTTTTGTTTGTTGATTGATTTGTTGTTTGATTTGTTGTTGTTTGGTTGTTGTTGTTTCGGTGTTGTTTCGTTGTTGTTTGAGTTGTTGTTTGTTTTGTTGTTTGATTTGTTTATTTGGCTGTTTTTTGGGTTGTTTTTTTGCGTTGTTTGTTGTTTCGGTGTTGTTTCGTTGTTGTTTGAGTTGTTGTTTGTTTTGTTGTTTGATTTGTTTATTTGGCTGTTTTTTGGGTTGTTTTTTTGCGTTGTTTGTTGTTTGGTTGTTGTTTGGTTTGTTGTTTGATTTGTTGTTAGATTTGTTGTTGTTTGGTTGTTGTTGTTTGGTTGTTGTTGTGTTTGATTGTTGTTTGATTGTTTTTGATTATTGTTTGATTGTTTGTTTGTTTGTCTGTTTGTTTGTTTGTTTGTTGTTTGTTTGTTTGTTTGTTTGTGTGTTTGTTTGTTTGGTTGGTTGGTTGGTTGGTTGGTTGGTTGGTTGGTTATTTGGTTGGTTATTTGGTTGGTTGGTTGGTTGGTTGGTTGGTTGGTGATGATATTGATGGCATTGCTGCTGTTGATGATGTTGATCATGTTGTTGTTGTTTTTGGTTGTGGTTGTGGCTGTTGTTGCTGTTGTTGTTGTTGTTGTTCATTACATTGATGATATTGATGCAGTTGATGATATTGATGCTGTTGATGATATTGATGATATTGTTGATATTGATGATGATGATGATGGTGATGATGAAGATGATGAAGATGATGAATTCCTGGGATGATAACAACCACGATTTTGTGTTGTTCATCACGGCGCGGAAACCACTGATCAAACGATTTTGGGGGGTAGCCGGGTAGCTGTGTTGAAGGTACTGTTTGAAAGTTTAAAGCTTTTGTTGATTGAAATTAGTGGAGTTTCCACCTGCCAACACAGCAAAAATTCTGCGTCTCAATGTTGACGTTGACAGCTGCTCACCCTGAGAATGAGTTCAGCTGTATTGGTTTTGGAAGTTTTTTCCCTTCTCCCGTCGAAACTTGGAATTCCAAAGCGACATGTGCCCATGGGCCACCTTTCTACGGTTCCTAAAGGTAACCCATCAGTTCTCAGTCCTCTGCAGTCCATTAGTCATTTGTGAACGATAAGACCCCTCGCCAACATTGGTGAATTGTGACATGTTTTCTGGTGTTGATACCTCTGCCGTACGGCTACACATGGCTACACCAAACAAGCACCGCTGGTATTTCCACGATCTCCCCATAAATCATCATAAATCCTCCTTGGTCCTTGATCTCCAATATATCCTTCTAAAATCTGTCTTAAACCCCATTAATTCATAAAAACATCACCAGAAACATGTAAGGTTCCCATAAATCCCCATCAACACCTATGAATCCCCATGAAAATCCTGCGGTAGCTTACAGCCTATGACCCTTTACGAGTTTGGCTGTCAAGGCCTGTCGATTTGCCACTAGTCGATGATGCTTTGTTATTTTTTCCGGGAAATCCACTCAAAAATCCGGAATGATTTTTTAAGGTATCTATGGAATGAAATATGATAGCCACTAAAAAAATGAGAAATCCACTAGATATCATCGGAATATGGGTATGGGTCTGGGTCAATACCTATAGATACATTTTTAGTGGGATGAACATCCATTTACCAGCTATTTTGGGGTTCACTAGGTAACAGGGTTTTGACCCATCCCCATATCTCTCAATTTTTTTGGGGGAGCCTTACGCAACTCCAAAAGGATCATGCGCAACTTTCTCCCATGTCTCTGCACCCTGGCCCAACAAAGGTGCGAATTTCTTGAAGAGTTTCAAGATCGACACAACTGAGGAGAATCGCAACCGTCAACACCTGAGAAATCCGCCAAGTTCTGTTTGATACCCTGATGGGTTACTCTACCTTTGCAATTTTTTACTGCATCATTTTGGGTCTATTAGGTGTTTTTCTATGTTTTTCTCTCTTTTTTTTTTGAGGTTAGGAACCTTGAGCAAATCAATGTGAGTTTCCAGCCGGTTGGTGGCAGTTTGGATACTTTTTGCTTGCATGTGGGGAGCTTGAGCCAGCCATGTTCAACCTGTTTTTGATCATTCAACATGTTGAATGAAACGAAAATCATCGGAAATCATCAAAAAAACAACCATGTCAATAAATCAACCATTCCAATTATTCAACACATCAACGAGGATCAATAATCATCTGTTTTTTTTGGGGCAGCTACCACTGCCCAGCCATCGAGTGACCAAGGCTTGTATGAGTTGATGGCCTCTTTTCAGAATCGGATCCGCGACATGTCCGGGGCCCGATGTTGTGGAAACCAGAGGTTTGGAAGGTGGTAAACTAGGTACCCAAACGGTACCCTAGAATAGATGGTAACCATGGATGTTTATGGACTGGTTGGTGGTTTGGAACCATGGAATTTTATGACTTTCCTTTTTTTAAATGACTTTCCATATATTAATATTGGGAATAATAACCCCAACTGACTTTCATATTTTTCAGAGGGCTGAAACTACCAACCGGTGGATGTTTATTCCCCAACATATGGTAATGATAGGGTGTTGACCCATCCCCATATATATTTTTACATATACATCATATGCATGTTTTTACTTCTTCAATAGCTAATGGATATACTCCAAACTCTCAATATGATGTATATATCCCATTCATATCCATTGAGCACACTATATCCCATCATATATAATTTGCGATCGTGGGGATGTGGTTTGTGTATCGTGGGGTATTCTTCAGATTCTTTAATGGATATGAATGGGATACATATGTATAGCTTATAGAAGCAACAGAAATCGATATGGTCATCCCAAGGCTTCATGTTGACTTTCCCTACTGGCAAAAAACGTGGACATATGATCATAGTAGGGGGTGTATTTTGAATCTTTTGGCGCTGTCAGAAACCAATAGAAACCATAGTTTTATTTGTTCACCCTAACCCCCAACGAAATTGGTTTTTAAGGGCCAAAACTTGCAGGTCGTCCACGTATTTGTCGCGGATGCGGAAGCATGTCTATGTCACACCCAGGTGCTGAAAGTGTGGGGGAATAGGTATTCCCCTAATGAATTGCGATATCACGTGATATTCCCCCAATCATTATGTTGCTTACACTCTGGTCAACTAACATAGCTATTGAAAATTGCCCATTTATAATATATATTTTTTTTTCCCATTAAAAATTGTGATTTTCCATAGTTATGTTAGTTTACCAGAGGGTAGTATAATCCCTTATCATCAACAGGGGTTTAGCATCACTGCCCAACTGGCTAGTTGCAGATATGCTTTACTTTCCAATGGGAAGATGGATCATCTCACAGCGTAGTTGGCGAATGTGGCACGTGTCCAATGTTCCATCCAAAAAAACGGGATGATGATTCCACTTCACTTACCCTCTGGTTATTTAACGGTTTGAAATGGAAAACACTATTTTTAATGGGTAAATCCACTATAAATGTCCATTTTCTATAGCTTTTTGTATGTTTACCAGAGGGTAAACATTGTTTTCATGTTGGGAACAGGTTGAAATCGATGAGTGAACTCTCCGGCATTGTCCAGCCAGCCAAGTGATTTCGACATCATCTGAGATGCTTGTGGTATCTTTATATTTCTCCTTTAACAAGTACATATTGGCATGCATCTGATATACATCATTTGAAGTCATGATTTGTGACATCCTGGCAACCTAGTGTATGAGATCAAGATTTCTAGATCAGCGAGAATAGGAACCGGCAACGGAAAATCAGCAGGTGTTGGAAGGAAGTGCAGATACATATCATATCCTCCAAATTCTACGTTTTGTTCATAGCCATTTTACATCACCGGAAGGTAGCTTGCGGTGGCATTTTACTTGTTTGATGGTATTAACCAGCTCTTGGTTGACGTTTGCAATGCTAGAACCCGAACATGAACGGGGATGTTGGTTTCTGTAAAGCAGCTAGCCAAACGAAAAAGAAAAAAGTCTACTTGGATGTGATTTTTGAGTTTGATTCTGCAATATCCAGTCAATGGCCATTTCAGGAACCGATTGATTGGAGGTACTTACCATATATTTTTGGTCTTTTTGAAAGGCCTAAATTTCAGGGATTTTTTCCCCTCAATTCATATGGCCTGAAATATGGTACGTTTCACGTACTAGCGTACCTCCATCAATTGGATCTTGAAATTCCCATCGATCCAGGTGATATGTGTGCCGTGTCCATAGGATCCAATTGATGGAGGTACGTAAACGTACCATATTTCAGGCCATATTTTGTGGTGATATTCCCTGAAACTTAGGCCTCAAAAATAGGCCAAAAATATATGGTAGGTACCTCCAATCAATCGGATCCTGAAATGGCCGTTGACTTCTTGGTTTTTCCTATCGTTCCATGTAATAACAGCCACAAAAAAAAAACGTCGCGGTCAGGAGTTTCCTGTGCTTCATCGAGTACTACAAAAAGCTCTATGCTGCCAAGTACAATGAAGTCAATGTTTGCCCCTCAGGTTTCCTTGAAACATGTCAGAGAAGTTTGCTGGAAAATATTAGGTATCCCTTCTTCCATAGCCCCGAAAGGAGCTATGGGTAATAAATCCTAGGTTGGAAACCTTTGAGGAATAGGATATAGGGAGGGACCATGGGGGGTTCATCATTGCCGGAAAATGTTATCAGCTGCTGACGTTGCTTTGTCCAATTTGTTTTCATCCAACTGATCTTTTTGTGACAGTTGAAAGTCAATACCATCTGGTCATTTAACATAGCCATGGAAAATCCCAACCATAAATGGAGGTTTATAGCTGGGAAAATCATATTTTTCGATTAGGGCCATCTATACCATGGCTATGTTAGTCATAACCAGAGGGTAATCAAACCTGGCAATTCGGCAGCCTCCAATCATCAAATATGGAGCTTTTGATGCGGGAAACTCATTTTTTTTGAAAAAAAACATCTCCTAGTTATAGATGACTTTCCCGACTTTCCCATAAAAAAAAACATTTTAAACAACCCTCCATGTTTGCAGAGTTTCCAGTGATTTCCAGTGCCATGTTGCCATGTTGGATTGCCACTACCCTCTGGTAAACATACTTATTTTGACATAACCAGCATCTAGCTTTGTTTTTCGAGGTGCAGGAGAAGAGCGTCAACATCGGCTTGCGCAAGTTGGAAGAGGCTGCAGAAAAATCGCATTTTACAAATGATCCGAGTGGTTTTTAGCAACAGAAATATGGCATTTTACAAATGGGTATGGATCAATACCTATTAATACCATTTTTAGGGGGATGAACATCCATTTACCAGCTATTTTGATGTTTACCAGGGGTACAAGGTTTTGACACACTGCCAAATGGCTTTAGTGATTGTTGCTAATGATCAAAATGGGTTAATGTTTTTTAATGAGTGTTAATGATTTTTAATGAGTGTTAATGATTGTTAATGATTAATTTGTTTTTTTTTAAGGTGATTTTTTATTTTCCCAATAGGAAATCCACCATTTGGGGAATCTATAGTGAAGATTTTTTATTTTTGGAAACCCCTTAAGCAAATCCAAGTTGATGATTGTTGCGTTGATGAATTTCAATGATTGTTAATGTTTGTTAATGATTGTAAAATGGGTTCAATATCTATTGTTAATGATTGTTTCCATACTGGTTAATAATGATCCATATGAAATATGCACATGTTTATAATTATGGGGGTTATACCAAGTCAATGTTCCATAGCTAGGTTTGTATACTGGAAGGTAATAATCCAATGGTTGGAATGGGTAAAGCTACCAGAACTTCTTGTGCGTTCCTTAGCAGCTCGATCCGGTTTCAGGCCGCCAAAAGCGTGCTCGAAATGCAGGCGGAAACTGAAGCTGTCAGGGAACATGCTACTGCTTTTGCACAACGGGGACAAATAATCGACAAATACAGAGAGAGAGATCTATATATATATATATATATCGATATAGAAACACCCAAAAAGCTAGAAAAGTAAAGTCCTACTAAAATAGTGATCAATTGTATTCATTTGTGTTTCTATCCTTTTGACGCTTGCTATATTTGGAGAATGAACAGCCATAAATGCCAGCGATTTTGTGGTGAACTACAGGTACTATGGTTTTGACTCATACCGAACTCAAAGATTCACAAACCAATCCTTTGAAGGTACAAAAAAGCATGGTGAAATTGATGTGTTGTCTTGCTGTAGGTTGGCAACCTACAGCACTTACAGGCACTAGTGAGGGCTACAACACAGGGCTGTAGCTTGGCAACCTACAGCCAGCAATGAGGGTCAGAAAGACTGATAATTCCTCGATCTCCAAAATTCTGTGTCTAATTCTCCGCCCCCTCGATTCAAGGAGAAGCGCCTGAAACCATCCAAAATGGTAACTAAAGGCAAGATTCAGGTGGTTGCAGGTACCAGTTTGGATGGTTATCATTATATCTATTAAGTATCTATCTATATCTATCTATATCTATCTATATCTATATCTATATATCTATCTATATTAGTGGTAATAGATATAATATGGTACCTATTACTTTTATATCTATCTATATCCATTTTTAAGTGGCCAGAATTGGGAGAATTCCACTAGGACCCGAGGATCCGCTGATTCGTGATGTCAAAAAAACTTCCCACGGCACGACGGCACGGCGAGGTAGAAATTGCGGGCGTCCCCAGAGGGATCGTTCCCTTTGGGATATACCGATGGGATATCCCAATGGGGTACTTCATTCAATGGGGAATGGAAAAAAGTGGATTTAGCCATGGAAAAATGGTGGATCTTTCCAATATGTTCCATAGTTATGTTAGTTTACCAGAGGATAACATTAAGATATCCATTGATCAATGGAAATTTCAGGATCCAGTTGATGGAGGTACGTAAATGTACCATATTTCATGCCATATGAATTGTCGGGATATTCCCTGAAATTTAGGCCTTATATGAGCCTTATATATGGTAGGTACCTCCAATTTAGGTTCCTGAAATGGCCATTGATTCATGGGATGTTGGAGGTTAGTTGATAGAAGACTTTGAATCGATCTTCGAGAATGTTATTCGCCATAAATGGAATATTGATGGCACTTCTGCGAATTCTTTCAATACTTGTGAGGCATCTTGGGGACCCTGGACAGTTGCCAAGTTTGACATCTAACAAACTGAAATTGTTAATAGTTACCCTCTGGTGAACTAACATAGCAATGGAAAATCACCATTTTTCATGGGAAAATCCACTATAAATGGCCATTTTCCATTGCTATGTTAGTTCACCAGAGGGTATAAATTATAAAAGCCATGGCCCATTTAGTTCGGTGATTGACTTTTGAAAAATGGTGATTTTCCAGTTCGCAAAGTGTCAGTTTACCAGAGAGATCCAGAGGCTACATAGTTTGGTGCCGACACACAGCATAAACTGGGTCAAACCTGGATGGAGAAAAAACCATGTTTAAAATGTGTTGCTATACATGGGATCTACATTAAATATATATATATACACATTATATACACATTGTATATATGTCTATACATACACTTTACAAAAGCGTAAATATCTCCCGGGTGTATGTGTTAGCATGCATATGTATATCTGCCGAGGAAAGACAAGAGGAGGTGCTCCGGATGGAAAGCATCAAAACCAATGAGCTCTTGAACAAGGCTGGCAGGTCCATAAGGTTGGTAAACATGGCAAATTTCTCACGAAAAATCCATGGTTTTTAGGGGTTTCACCATGAAAATGGTTGGTTTAACTGAAAAAACATGGGGATTTGGCGACTAAAAAAAGCGCGGGATTTAGCGATGGGGATTTTTGATAGTGATTTATGATAGGAATTTCTTGTGGATGAGTTGGTTGAAATAAATTAACCAACAAGTGGATCTGATATACCCTCTGGTACACTAACATAGCTATTGAAAATAGCAATTTACAGTTGATTTTTCCATTAAAAATTATGAATTTCCATAGTTATGTTAGTTTACCAGAGGGTATCTTTGGTTGTTAGATGGGGTGACAGATGCGAACATAAGCCAACTTATGATTGGGCGGCCCTTCCTGCACGTTGGCCGCAGCTGTGGCACCAATTCTCGCCTCGCCCATGGGTGGTGGATATGATGGATGTGCGGGCAACAACAAAAGCAGAGTATGAGAACATTTGGCACCGAGAAAACAACGGATGTTACCCTCTGGTAAACTAACATAACTATGGAAAATCACCATTTTTAATGGGTAAATCAACTATAAATTGCCATTGTTCAATAGCTATGTTAAATTACCAGAGGGTAGCCTGGGGCAAGCATACCAAAAGATGTGGAAAGCCATGGAAAAGCCATGGTTGACCTAGGAAAATGATTTACAAATGGCGATTGGTGCGTTTCCACAGTTATGACAGAGTTTGCAGGATACTAACGGACAACTGGATCAGCCGCAAAAAAATTGGCCCAACATGTTCCCATGACTGAGGTTGAGATGACTTTAGGGGCAGATCGTGGACACGCATAAATTCATCCACATCAAGACTACCATTCATAATTGTTTAAAACGTGTCGATTGCTTTTTTAGACATATATCCTTGACATGGTTTATCCGTTTATCCCCCGGAAGTCATGGGAAAAACTATGATTTCAACATGTCTTCCTATGATTTTCCCGTTCCCAAAACCATCCATTGTTTCCAAGACGTTCCTGCAACGCCGTTGCAACAGAGGTACACGGCGAGAAGAGCAGGGCAGAAGACAAGGCCGAAGAGGTCGGAAGCATCGCTAAGGCGCACAGAAAATTCGGAAGGGATGGGCATTTGGTACATTTTGGTACTTTTGAAATCAGTTCATATTGTTAGTTGTAATACAGGAATGGTACTAGTATAACTACATGTAAGAAAGTACATGATCATATCATTCCGCACTAAAAGCCTTTGCTTTAGCCGCTAAGCTAAGCTGACCAGCTGACTATGGGAAATCACCCATCGATGCATCCCGTGATGACCCATCAACATCTGAAGAGTAAGTCCTGCTCTGAAAGTTAGGAGTCTATAATTCCCAACACAAAATGGGAGGTATGGGAGGCTAAGTTACGGAACTACTAAGACTTTCCCAACCAGAGCATAGAAACGTGAAAAATAACTGGAATTCACAAATGCATGGGCCATTTTCCCATTTCTCTCTTTCTGAAGAATGGACAATAGCATGCTTCAAAAACAATTCCAAAAGTCCAAACATGATCAACAAATAAAACACGTTCACCATTTTCCTTTCTGAAGAATGCCATAGTTGGTTGGTTTTTCTGTGGCCGAGGACTGTGAAGAAAATGCCTCGGTTATCGATGCCGACAGAGAAGAGGCCACTCTGAAGGGTGAACGCGACTGCTGGTGGGATTAACTGATAGTTCGTTGTATTGGGGATATACTGTAGTGGGGGTATATGCATATATATATATATGTATATATATATATATGTATATATATATATGTATATATATATATATATTTATTATACATTATATATATATATACATATCAGCCAGTCAGTGAACTACTGTTGAAAATGGCAATGTGGTAGGTAGGTAGTTGCTGTTGAAAATGGCAGTGTGGTAGGTAGGTAGTTGCTGTTGAAAATGGCAGTGTGGTAGGTAAGCATCCATAATGGGGAGATGGGGATATCTACTGTTAGTTGCTGTTACTTGTTTTTCCTATTCAGCATAAATCACAATCTCACCGGAATGATGGTTTCTAAGGGGAATCATCCACAGGTGGCCTTATTTCAGAGTGACACGTTATAATTTTGCCCCGATAGAAATGCAAAACTGAGAGCAAGCCCCAAAAAAGAACTGGTGGCATTTAATGGTTTAATAGTGGTATTAATGCTTCAGATGAATTATCATGATTCTAATATAGATGCTTTTTAATGCTAGTTCCCAAAATGATTGGAATTCCAAATTTGACCGACAATAATGCTGGTATAATAAGGATACCATGGGATAATGATGGGATAATGATGGGATAATGGTGGGATAATGGTGGGTAGTGGTTCATACTAATTAGGTCAACCGAACAATACACCATCCCACTAGAGGTTTGCGAAATTTGATATTTCCTACGAAAAAAACCCTGCTTGGGATGCTGTTTTCCATGCCCAAAAATTGAAAATTGTTGGTGAATGGGATACCCTCTGGTAAACATTCACAGTTTGCGACATAGAAAATGGCCCAGTCGAAATAGTGAGTTTTCCCATTAAACATGGTGATGTTCCAGTTCGTCATGTGGCTGTTTACCGGAGGATAGTTTGTGGCTAGCTGGGTAAGTCCCACATGAATTCATGTGCCATTTGTTTTTTGCGCCCTCTGAGCCTGCGGATATTGATTGATTAGCACAAAGAAACGTCTTTTTTTTCGGGGTGTCTGTGGCTGGGACTCCAGCTGATGGCCTTGATCATTCACGAGAAATTAGGCCTCCAGGATCCGGTTCGACAGTTCGTCCCTGTGAATTCAGAGCTACCCTCCGGCAAGCGTGGCTAGCTAGGAAATCATTGAAATCCCCGAACTAATAGGGAAATCATCTATAAATACAGAATCGTCTACTGCCATGTTTGATTACCGGATGGTGAGCTGAGGTGTCAAGCGTTTAAAACATTAAAATCATTAAAATGTAGTTGCACAATGTTGCACATCTGACTATTGATGATTTCATGGATGGCTTACATAGTTTCAACTAAGACCTGAGCAGTAACATGTTCACTTGATGTTTCTTTTGTCGGTCTTATCCTCCCATGTTGTGAACCTCTTTTCAACTGAGTAAATACCTGGATAGAATAAGACAGAGCCTACCCTCCAGTAAACTAACATAGCTATGGAAAATCACCATTTCTAATGGGTAAATCAACTATAAATGACAATTTTCAATAGCTATGTTAGTTTACTGGAGGGTAATATTTAACTTGCTTTGCCTTTGCTTGGATTATAACCCCCTTTTAGCAAAATACACTTGAAGGATCACGCTACAGTTTGCAGAGCCCCCCTGTTTTTATCCAATTGTCGTCGCAAAAACACAATGATTTCCGGTGTATTTAAAAGATTCTACCCTCTAGTAATTTAACATAGCAGTTGAAAATGTCCCATTTATAGTTGATTTACCTTAAAGATTGTGCTTTTCCATAGCTAAATGTTAGTTTACCAGAGGGTATCCCTTCCCATTCACAATGGGATGTTAGAATATCCAATGGCGGTACTTAAACCCTTTGGGGTAAACACCGGTTTGCCCATCAAAATTCTGATTTTCCATAATTTTTTATATGTTTACCAGGCCGGGTATCCATGTAAAAGTCCCCAAAACCCCTCTCGTCATCCAACGTGGCTCGCTGAATGACACCTTAAGCTGCCAGGCGAATAGGCAGCTCCAAGAGGCGTTACCCTACCTCTACGAGGCCGCGTAGGTTGTGGTCACCCCTGACTGGTTGGTGGTTTGGAACATGAATTTTATGTTTCCCCAATAGTTGGGATGATGATCCAATCTGACGAACTCATATTTTTCAGGGGGGTGGCTCAAAACCACCAATTAGCTGATCTTTTCAGAGACTTGGGGGAGGAAGATTGAGTTTTTTGTTTAATCATGTGGTTTTTAACCAGTCCTGGTTCACCCGATACACTTAGTTATTATAATATATCATAATTATCTCTCATTTATTCTTATACATCCCTGTTTTGTTTAAACTGGACGGGTTTCATGCTGTATATTTTCCTATCCCAGGCCCCGGTTGGCGTTTGAGGCCAATGCCGCCTGCCAGTCCATCAAAGATAAGGTGTGAATGATGCTTACCGCTGGCCGATGCAACGTGATGCAACGTGGGGGCGGAAGCACATGAAATAGGGGATATGATGTCAACCCTGGATTAATAAACCCCAAACGGCTGTTCAATTGGGAGGGTACCATTTATGTACCATATTGTGACTATTTGGAGGGTACCCCCTAGTTAATAAACCATGGTTTAGTCTCATCCGGGGTTTACATTAGTGGGTTTACTTGGAGGATACTACTCCCATGGTTGGATGTAGGGATGAAACCACATCATTGGCACCAATAATGGATGTTTAATATTGGATGGGATGATCATGTTGCGTTTTAGCAATAATAAACCAGCCCCGAAAAAATCACCATGTTTATGGATGGTATAAACATGTATAAACCACGAAAATATGAGAGTGGTTTATGAGAGTGTGCTACCAACTGGTATAACTTGGAAGTTAAAGTGGTTAGTAACTGGGGCCATACCTACCCCATTTATGAATGGGATCATGCACTTAGAATAGGTGACTTACCAACCAGAGTGATCCTCAAAGTCCTTAATCATGATCTGCGTCAAAAATGGGATGATGGTCCCCAAATGATCAAAAAAAATCTGCTGTTCGGTTGAAACATGTTGAAACCACCAGTCAATCTTCTGTTGTAAATGAAAATATGTACCAGTCGGCTATTGGCAGTGTACCAAAGGCTGGCTGATTGTATTGGGCCGTCTCAATGTCAAGCCCGGATGAATACATCCAAAACAGATTCGTCGCAGGGGTGTGGAAATATGTATAAGTCCAACTATCATTGGATTGGTTCAAGGGAAAATTTAAAGGAAAATCCTTTGTTTCATGAGGAAATCTTTGGTACCTGTAGATGTTCCCTTAAATCCATATGAATGGCACAAACGGTGCGGTTATGAATCTCAGCTTCTGAGTGTAGCCAGAGCCTCCATATATTGAGAGAAAACATGAGCTCAACATTGCTCCACTTGCTCAACCACCTTACTTTGTTTTGCTTCATGTTCAAAGAAAACCTGGTTGGTGGTTTGGAACCATGGAATTTTATGGCTTTCCATTCAGTTGGGAATTTCATCATCCCAACTGATGAACTCATATGTTTCAGACGGGTAGGTCAACCACCAACCAGAAACCAAACCAAACAATGCATGAATAATGCCCATTGAAGCCCCGTATGAAGAATGGCTTAGATCCGTATTGGACTGTTTCTCAAGATTGGGCTGTTGGAGAGAACCAGTGGTTTCTCCATGAAAAAATGACGTTTCGGAAACCGGTGATGCTGGGGTTCCTTCATTTTTAAGAGACCAATGAGACCATCACAGAGTTGGATGACGGAACATTTTACAGGAAACCAATCCATGACCGACTTTGCCACAGGACATTGTGGAACTGAAGGGAAACAAAGCACCGGTGGACATAGTCACATCCTCGGTGAAAATGCTGGCAACCCTGTCAAAACCTTGGATCAGATTATATTTGTTTGGTGGTTGGAACCATGGAATTTTATGACTTTCCATATAGTTGGGAATCATCATCCCAACTGACTTTCACTCCATCATTTTTCAGAGGGTAGGTCCCCACCAACCAGATATTATTAGTTGAAAGCCTGAAGTCACTATGGTGTTTCCATGAAAAAGAGATGGCAAATCAGAATTTTTCTGGTTTTATTTGAGGGTTTTGGCCTCTAGCCGGCTTCGAGGCGATAAAGCCCTATAAATCCCATCCCCCCAACATGTTTCATGCCCTCAACACAGGGGAAAACGGGCGGGTTTCTCGCGGGATTTTGGGGGGGAATACATTGGTATCCAACAGAAGGATGCCCGTCAACCAACCCAAGGACTGGAGGGTAGAACAGATGAATTTATGTCTTAGTTATGAAGTTATGATTGCGAGTGTGAAAGAAAAAATCGAAGATGCTTGCGCAAGTGAGTTGGAAGATTAAGAGGATCAAAAAAACGGTCCTAAGATTTCTCGCGAACATGCGCTCTTTCAATCTCTTTCATATCTTTGCCTCAATCATAACACCTTCAAAGGTTCGAAAAAGTGATGGGAAAAACATAAAACACAGTTTGTTTTGAATGATTGATCGAATCCCTTCTTCTCTAACAGGCTCAAGAACCGCAGATTTTGTGACGGAACAGGCAGTGTTTCATGTGGAGTCTTTCATGATTTGGGGGGATTTGCTTCAATGACCCAAAATTCAATATCTGCAGGAAACCATTGTTGTTTTTAATGGTTTGTAGCCATTACATGCAGTGGTTCCAGTTGGAAACCATGTTTTTTTACCATCAAATGCAGTGGTTCAGCTACGGCTTGACATCGAAGGTCAAGCTGACCTTCGACGGTTTGCTGCTACTGATGGGGAACAAAGTCTCCGAGGAGCGAGCGTTGACTGACGCGCAGTTAAGCTGTATCAGCTGATAGTCAGGGCGAAATTCTTGGGGGTTCCATGTTTGTTTCAGTATGAAAATGGTGCCAAATTTTGGGATCTATCAGTGATGTTGATACATGTTTCAGAGAATTTCAGGCATTTTGAGCACCGAGTTTTTTCATGTTGGTTCCTTTCCACCGTTTCTGCATATGTCTGCATTCTAGTGCTTCGGCTCAAATGGGTGGGACCTAAACCACCAACCCCGAACCCCACAATGAAGAACCGCCTGTGGCTGGCCGTGGCTGTGCGGCTTCTAGCTGCTGTGGAACTTGAAGATCCTGAGTTGACCAGGTCGGTTGGAACTTGAAACATCAATCTATCCGTATGGATGCATGGGTGGATCGGATGGGGTCACAAGATAGATATAGATGTTGGTGTATATATATATATATTTATTTAATTAATTATATAGATATACACATGTATGTATGTGTGTGTGAGGTGTGTATGTTTGATCATGTGTTCAGATGTTCAGTGGCCATCAGTTGCCATGTCAGGAACCTAAACTTGAGGTACCTACCATTATGTGTATAATATAAATATGCATATGTAACATATGTATATGTTCATGTGTGTGTGTGCATCTAGCTATATATACATAAAGTCTATGCAAGGGCTATGTAAGGGGATATACCTCCAAAATATGGATTTATATGGTACGGTACCTCCAGCTTAGATAACTGAAATGGCCATTGATGTATAGAAATATATTTGTTGATAGTTAATTGCAAAGGTTAAGGTTTAGTCCCTTTGAAAAAGGTTGTTGTTTCTGGAAAACCCTGAGCCTTAGCAGGTCCATCCAAAATCTTTTTGAGGAGGAAGCTGAACCTGCCGTGAGTCACACGAAGCTGGTAGACCCTTTCGAGGAACCAAAGGAGTTCGATTCCGCTTCGGCAGATCCATTTGCTGAGTTGGAGAAGCAATCAGTCAAACCATCAGCGAAGATGGCTACACCAAAGGATCCATTTGCTGAGTTGGCTTCGGTTAGCCATTCTGCTCCAGTTGCGCTGAAGGATCCATTTGCCGAGTTGTCTTCCGTTAGCCATTCTGCTCCAGTTGCGCTGAAGGATCCGTTTGCTGATTTGGCTTCTAGCAAAGCTCCGGCTACCCCAAAGGATCCATTTGCTGAGTTGTCTTCCGTTAGCCATTCTGCTCCAGTTGCGCTGAAGGATCCGTTTGCTGATTTGGCTTCTAGCAAAGCTCCGGCTACCCCAAAGGATCCATTTGCTGAGTTGTCTTCCGTTAGCCATTCTGCTCCAGTTGCGCTGAAGGATCCGTTTGCTGATTTGGCTTCTAGCAAAGCTCCGGCTACCCCAAAGGATCCATTTGCTGAGTTGGCTTCCGTTAGCCATTCTGCTCCAGTTCCCCCAAAGGATCCATTTGCTGAGTTGTCTTCCGTTAGCCATTCTGCTCCAGTTGCGCTGAAGGATCCGTTTGCTGATTTGGCTTCTAGCAAAGCTCCGGCTACCCCAAAGGATCCATTTGCTGAGTTGGCTTCCGTTAGCCATTCTGCTCCAGTTGCGCTGAAGGATCCGTTTGCTGATTTGGCTTCTAGCAAAGCTCCGGCTACCCCAAAGGATCCATTTGCTGAGTTGTCTTCCGTTAGCCATTCTGCTCCAGCAACTTCAGTTGCACCAGCGACTCCGGCCATGAAATCAGCAGGTCCCAAGTCAGTTCCCTTGATCCCTTCAGCAACCGTTCAAGCGAAGCCTACCCCAGCTGAGGTGAAGATTCCGCAGAGCCCTGTGGCCCAAAATGTCACTGCCTTGTTGAAAGATAAGGGCTCGGCCAAGGTGAATGAAACCAAGGTAGTGAAGTTGAACAGCACCAAGAGTGCTGCCAATAGAAATCATGGAACTGCTCAGAAAGTCGTTGCCTCCAACCAGATGAAGATGAATCACAATGATTCCATCCATTCCGCCCCAACTTTACCAGCAGAGATCAAGATCCAACCCACCAAGCGATCTCACTTCCTCCATCCCAAGGTGGAGACCAAGATGACCTCCCCTGAGGCAACCCCCCAACCAGCTCAGGTAGCACCGAATCTGCAGAGGTCTCCCAGTTCTTTGGCAGCTTTCTGGTCCTCAGAGCCTCGAAGGCCTCCAGAACCGAATCCCAAAATGGCTCCCTTGGCTCTGGTACAGCACCAGGCGGCTCGCAAAGGGATCGATTTTACGAAAGTTCAGGAGACAAAGGAAGATGGGGAACCTGAAATTTCCATCAGTCACTTGGATGCTTTTGGATGATTTGCTCACGTCTTGGATTGGAAAAGCCACAAAAACAAACTATAAATATTGGTTTCTTGAAAACGCGAGATCCCCAAAAGCATGAGTTTCGATATTGAAATGGTCTATAGTTGGGATGATTTGTGGGTATCCCCATTTTAGGAAACCCCCAAATATGTATGCGGCATAATCGTTGGAAGAACTACGTCTTTTTCAGGCCTTGAAACCATTAAGCAGTCACTGTTGGGATGACGAAGCTGGATTTTATTGTTGGGCCCGGTCAATGCCATGATGATCCTCCGATGCTTTCCAGGAAAGGATGAATACCCAAGCTCTCTTCTGGAATTATAATGGGTACACACACACACATATATATATAATTATATATGTATATATTGTAAAACCATTAGCTTTTCATTGATCACCCAAAAAAATCCCCATATGATCTATGACCCCTGATCAATCACCATTAATCCCCACAAATCCCCTCAATTCACATGTTCCGTTGGTCTTCCCTTAAAATACACCCCGGAAATAGTATTAAAAAATCTGAATACCACCAAAAAAACAAATAAAGTCCTTTAAATCCCAAATTATTTCCATAAAACTGGTTGGTGGTTTCAAACAAGCCTCGGCTCGAATCCCTACCAGTACAGTGGGTGGCTGGTACTCACGAAAGTTCGAGTGACTGTTTTTCACCTTGCCCCATGGACACCCGTAGTGACTGGGACAAACATGTGGACCTTCATGATTTGTTCTGCCCGGCATGGCAACAATTGGACAAGGGCAGTGCCATCTCGCTGGTTGTAGATGGGGTACTGCACACTGATGAGATGGCACTAGGTGTGACGCACCCAGGCGACCAGCAAGTGAGGATCTATGGCGATGTGTCCAGCCGTGTTCGCGGGTTGCAGACGGCTCACGATCATGAATGCCTTGGTTGACTGGCGTCCCCCTTACTTGGACTTGCTTCTGACGGATACTAGTTCTGTTGTGGCTCATGGTCTGTGTCCTGGGTCCGATGTGTTCCGTTTGGTCGAAGTCTGCTCTGGTGTTGCCTGCTCGTCCGTTGGACTTGGTTTTGCGGGTTTCAAGCACCTTGCTAGTGTAGAGTGGAGCCAACCACTTGCACGCCTTCATGCTGTTTGTCACCCTGATGTGCCTGTCCTGAACTTGGATTTGTCCAGTCCTGCATGTGCGCAGTCTCTACTTGCAGCTGTGGATCCTCCGTTCACTTTGATGGCAGGTATCAGTTGCCAACCATACTCCACTGCAGGCAGCCAGGGAGGTTCAAGTGACGCCAGATCATCAACGCTACCTGCTGCACTCCGGTTGGGTCATTTGTGTCAATGTCCGATCATGATCATTGAGTGCGTTTGCCCTGCACAGAGCAACAAGTTTGTCCAAGCCCACCTACGAGCTCTCCAGGACCAGTTAGGGTACAGAGTTTCTGACCTGACACTAAGGCTTGAGGACAATTGGGTCTCGCGTAGATCCAGATGGTGGGTTGTTGCTGTCCATCCGTGTTTTGCACCAATTTGTGTTCCTGAGTGGCCCCACCATCCACATTTGTGTATCCGTGACGTCATGCCATATGTCAAGCAATGGCCTGACGAAGTCATGAAAGAGTTGATTCTTGATGATGAAGAACTCAGGCAATTCACTTTGGATGGGTCCCACATGCGCAAATACCTGGTGCAGTCATCTGGCAAACTCCCAACTTGCCTTCATAGTTGGGGTAGCCAGAGCAGGGCATGCCCATGTTTGTGTAGGTCAACAGGCTTCAGTGACCAGTTGATTTTGCAACGTGGACTGTTTGGGCAAGTGCTTCCGGTACCTGTTTCACATGGGCCACCTAAGTACCGGCACTTTCACCCTGCCGAACTGAGTCTCCTGAATGCCATGCCTTTGATGCCAGGCCTCTATCAGAATGCAGTGGACTTGCGCCTTGGACTTTGTGCCGTTGGACAATTGGCCTCGCCCCTCCAATCAGGCTGGGTCGGAGCTAGCGTTGCCTGGCTTCAACATGCTCTGGGCCTTCCCACAGTTGATCCTCCCACAGTGCTACAGAGTATCAAAGCCATCCTCTTTGCTCATGTGAAGGAGTTATTCAATGATGAGAAGGTAAGCCCCCCGGTTGGCTCGACGGTCCAAGTAGTATTTCCTGACTCCACAAAGCTTGTGATTCCAGTACCTGCAGCCGCTACTTTGCGAGACCTGAGGACAGCTGAAGCTGCATTGAACCAAGCCGCATGCCCGTCTTGTTGGACTGATGTTGCCACCGGCCGCACCTTAAGTGATGATGATTGCATTCGTGGGTTGAGCATCCGTGCCAATTTTGTCGATGATTCTCATTGCACTGGAGTCGAGTCTTGCCCAGCAACTGCGATTGATGCCCCGGAACCTTTGCCTGAGCCGGCTTCTGCCAGCATGCCTGCCCGCCCGTTGCCTGGGTCTCCGAGTGTTGATGTGGAGATGGTGTCTTGTTCATCGCGACCAGACCCTCTTAGTGGACTTACACATTTGGCCGGTCCGTCTTTGGCTGCGTTGGTGCCTCCGCTTTTGCCTGACTTGCACAACATCCAGATCATGCGTCAGGAACATGCCAGTGTTGACAATCGCCTTTTGATTCTGCACAATCAAGGTCCAGCCATGGCAGATGATGAGCTCCTTTTGCATGTCCATGCCTGTATCAAGCTGTCAGGTAGGAAGGATGTTCACATGATCGACCCTGTCCTTGCGGCCAGTTGGCTTCGTGCAGGCACTGTTGCCCAAGTGCGTACCTGGCTGACCTCTGTGGACTCATGTTGCTGTGCCGTTGCTGTTGTTCCCTTCTCGGATCATTGGATTCCTGTTGTCTGGACCCGTGGTCAACGCAGTGTCTCCGTTTCAATCTGGGAGGTTGATGGTGTTGACCTTGATGGTCTCAATCCTCTTCACGGCCTTATCTGTCAGGCTTGGAATTCTTCTGGGTTTGCCGTTACCTGTACCCGACGCACCTTCGGATTGACACACTGTGGTGCTGCGGCTTTTGCCTTTCTGTCGCATGTTCTCTTGGACAAGCCCTTGCCTGTGGACTTTGATGCCATTGTTGCGTTGCACGGCGATCTCCAAGAAAGCTTTGCTGCGGCCATCATGGATTTGACTGTTGTGCCGCGTCCGTGGTGTTGGGGTCTCGGTGTACCTGACACGTTGAGCCTTGTTGCCAGTCTTCTGCAGTTGCATGGGGTCCCACTTGAACAATCCGCACAGCGTGCCAAACTTGTTGTTCAGAGTCTGGGTCGTGGAGCTGTCACTACTGCAGTTACTGGAGGTACCCCCTGGAAGTCCCTCAAAGCCTTAGCCAATCTGCAGTCTCCGCCTGTTCAGTTCGTGTTGCCGGATGAACAACAACAGAAGGTGATTCAGAAGAACCCCAAGCCCAAGAAATCAGCCAATCAGCGTTCGACCTTGCCTGCTCGCCCAAGAGAGCTGGATCCTGCCAAAATCCAACTTGATCATGGCTCATTCTGCACCGGATCTGATGACCCAGTTGGCCAAGTGGACTTTGCTCAGATTGGCCCACTGGTCTCCGGAGTCGCCTTGACCACCTTTGCGGAGGCACTGCCCTTCTTGCAGGCAGACAAACTTCTGACAAACCGTGGACTTGCCCTATTGATTCTGAACCCTCCAGCAGACCTTCCCACAAACTTGCAGTGGGCCACTGTCCGCTTTGCTGCTAGGTGTGCCCTGAATCAGGAACCCATGTTGCTCTCTGGTGCTCTTGTCCAGTTGGGTGGAGCTGTGGTTTATCAGTACAAGGCCAAAGACACACCAGCAATCATGTCTGTGGATGTTGCTTGTGCCCGCATCACTGTCTTTGCTGACCAGTGGGAAGGCAAATGGGAGGACTTTGCTAATCGACCCATCAAACACATCCTGGCGGCGGTCCCTGCACTCCAGGTCTGCAAAGTGGACTCATGCAATTGTGCCGCTTGGCATCCGCCCTCTGAAGGTCCGCACGATGCTTTGTTGGATGTTTTCAGGCGACAGTTCCTGAATGAAGCAGGACGACCAGTCAAGTGGGAACATGCAGCGTCCTTTGCAGTCGTTGTCAGGTATGTCAAGTCCTTGGAGTCTCAAGTTGTCGCCGTCAGTGGCAAGAGCGGATTGTATGTTGAGCCGAAGACTGAAGATGCCACTCAGCCCAGCAGTGATTACCAAGTCATCTGGTTGCCCCAGCAAGAGTTTGCAGCAGTGGCCCACAAAGCCAAATGCGAAGCCCATTGTGTTGGCATTGCACGTGCTGGACGCAGGTATGGCTTACGAGTGCACACCTCCCACTTCCAGCAGGTGTTTGCCAGTGTCAAGCCGGACGCTGTCTTCTTGGCCCCTGGAGCCAGGATGGTTTTCCACTGCGGCCCTTGGCCGTATGGTAGTGATCGCAAAGGACTGGCGCGCACCCTCAAGGCCAGTGGTTGGGAATGTAGACCACTCCAACCGTTGCACAATGTACCTGGTGGACTGATGTGGGCCGTTCAGGCGAACATGGAACCTCCGGCCAATGTCATGAGCATGCATCACGGCCAAGTGGTGTTCACCAGACATGATGCTCGCGCAACACTGCCTGGACCTGACATGCGTGTGGTGGGCCAAGCAAATACAGTTCAGCTTTGCTCAGTCCCCACTGGAGATGGTGCTGACCCATGGCTCCTCAATGATCCTTGGAAACAGGCAGCCAACTCGCTCCCTCCACCGCCATCGAGCACACCCTCTGCTTGTGCCTTGCAGGAGCTTGAACAGCGGATTGAATCCAAGGTGTTGGCCAAGATGCCAGTCCCGATGGAGCGCATGGAGGTTGACGATCAGGAGCACCGCCTGCACTTGTTGGAGCAGCAAATGCATCAGCTCTCCAACCGCCAGACTACGTTGGAGACTACGGTGACGGATCATCATGCCCAAAGCACGGCGCAAGTCCAAGGCCTCCAGCAGCAGATGATGATGCAGCTGGACATGCAG